GTGTGCATTATTTAGTGTCTGACTTCTTTAATTCAGCATTATATCTGTGAACTGTGTAGGGCATCACAATTTGTTCTGGGCCCTGACAGTAGATGTCTGACCATGGGACACCACCAAGTAACTATATGACCTTAGTTGTCTATTATGGACTGATCCACCAAGTCATGACATTGGGCATGGGCAGCAGTACACACCTTCAGCAGGACATACTGCAGCTGTCCCAGGCTCCAGTGAAAGGAGATATACCATTTAGGCTTTATAACATAACAGATCCAGTAGTGGTCCAGGAGATTGTGGAAAACTGAGATTTGCAATCTAACCTCTGGTAAGCCGCAATCAGAGAACCCAGTCTTTTGGATAATAGCATGTCCTATTATGCAAATAACTATTCTTCATTTGGGACAGCTGCAGTAACTGCTCTCGAAAGTGTACACTCACTGCTTCACTCGCCCATCTTCAGTGACTTGGTTTATCACGTGACACTCAACCTGACAACCGAGTGGGTTACTAATGGGAAATGCATTAAAAAGTATTATTTCATGCCTCCAAAATTTTAAAGTCTCACCAAGCAATATGCCACTGACATAGTGGACATAAATGATACAACAACTTGCCTTTCACTTCAAAATGGTATCTTTTTGTGTATTTCGTCAGCCTACAGAAGACAGCGTCTACAGAACTGCACTCACTGATTGTACTTTTCACTGTGTGACAAAGGGCTTTTCCTCTGGGTCCTATTGTGGATTGGATGAGAAACACAGGTGACAAATCCAGTGCAACTATCTATTCCTTAGCCTTTGGATTTTTCATTTATTTTTCATATCAAAGAAGTTGTGTCAATTCAGCTTCATTAAACTTAATCCACCACTGTTCTGCTTTTACCAAATGAACAAAGTATTAGTGCTGCTCCAAGCCTCTCAGGCTGGCATGTTGAGTCCAGAACCTCGAGTGGGTGTACCCGAGTCATTACATTTGGCCCAATCCAGTGTTATTATCCTCTCTCTCTGGGCTATCATCCTCAGAGTATATTTGCACATGCATTTCCTCTCAATATTATTTAGCTGTGTAATCCCACTCTCTCTGAATAGGTCACTGAAAAATAGCTTGAAATATAGATAATAATACCTTCCGGTATCACTCACAATTGAAGACATACAACAGCCTAACAGGTTAGCTCAACTCATTCACAACTGACATGATGTCACACCTGACATTAACATTAAATGTATTGTTTCTAAAGAGATTTTAAATTACTGGGGCAAATGCATATGCTAAAATGTTAAATGAAAAAGAAGATACTATATTGCATATGTATATAATGTGATCACAATTTTTAAAAATGCATGACAAAAAGAAGCTTTCTAATTTCTGTACCATGAAAACAGCCCCTTGGTTCTGAATCTCTACATTTATTTCTGAAATTCATACAAAGAAAAAAAACAGAGTAAACAAAACAAAAATTCCCACAAGAAACATCTATTGTGTAAACGCAGAAAACAAAGAAGCCTATAAACGCCAACTTACATGTAACAAGGTGAAAAAATGGTGGAACCAGCAGAATGATTTTTGTACCATATATGCTAGAAAAAAAAATTGACAATACTAAGTGTTATACTTATGAAAAATGGGAATACTGTTATGGGAGTGAATAACCATACAACCTTGGAAACAATTTTGGGCATATACGGGAAAGTTGAAAAAACACTTGATGATCCAGGAATTTTACTCTTAACTATACACCTAGAAACATTTTAATGTTTCCAAGGAGGCATATACTAGGATGTTCATAACATCATTATTTATATTATGAAAAAAATGGAACCAAACTTAATTTCTATCAACAGGAGAATAGATTAATACTTATGATGTATTCAAACAATGAAACACTATAAAACAGGGAAAATGAATAGAAGAGTTATAGCTGTCAGTGTAGTTGAATTTTATAAATGTAATCTCAGCTCCCAGAAGCCTATGTTGTGAGAAAAACAGTACAATAGAGTAGGTTTCATATCAGTTTTAAAACATGTAAACAATGTTGTGTATTTTTGTAATGTATTAAAACAAAAAAAAATCCCATGGGAAATATAAACATCAAATTAAGGAGAGTGATTACCTCTGGTAGGGAGGGAGGGAGAAGAATATGACCAGGAGTAACGACATGGGTAGCTGTAATTATACACAAAAAAAATTCATCTCGGTGATACCACTGAAAGATATTTGTTTTGGTCTTGAGCTCCTAAGTCCCTAGTAGTTTCCTGAGTGATAGAGGTGACAAGACTGTCTTTTGCTTTAATAACTAGACTCTTGGTAGGTCCCTACATAACTTCAGGATGGAAGCTGGTTATCAGAAAGACCAAACCTTGATTAGACACCTGGAATTTTCAGCCCCACTCCCCAAACTCAGGAGAGATGGTGGGGGGCTAGAGATTGAGTTAATAACCGATCACACCTATGTGATGAAACCTCCATAAAACCCCCTAAACAATGTGGTTTAGAAAGCTTCTGAGTTGGTGAACATGTCCTGCATGCCGGGACAGTGGCACACCCCAGCTCCATGGGAACAAAATTCCTGCACTTGTGACACTTCTAGAGCTCGTCCTATGTACCTCATCGTCTGGCTGTTCATCTGTATCTTTTAGATACCCTTTATCCGTGGTAAATGTAAGTTAAGTGTAGTCCTGAGTGGTGTGAGCCGTTCTAGCAAATTATCAAACCTGAGGAGGGGAACGTCCGATTTATAGCCAGTTGGTCAGAAGTACAGGTGACATATGGGACTTGAGATTGGTGTCTGAAGTCAGGACAGTTTTGTGGAACTGAGTCCTTTCACTGGGTTGAGTTTAACTGGGCTCTGGCGCTAACTCTGGGTGGAGGGTGTTGGAAATGAATGGAACTGTAGGATGCCCAGCTTGTATCTGAAAAGCTGGAGAACTGGTTGGTATGGAAAATACCCACACATTTTGTTTGGAAAGTGTTATGGGTAAAAGCAATGCTAAATCTCTTAAGCTGGGTAAGAATGGGAATTTGGCTATTTACCAGATTATACTTTGTACCTTTTGTATATTTGAAAGATTTCTTCAAACATTTTTTTAAACAACGTGGCTGGGGCATGGCATGTGATGTGTGAAATAGTGCAGAATGAGTGTTCAGAGGTGAGCAAAGGCCAGAAGTTTGAGAGACTTGTTGGCCATGGGAAGGTTTTGGGATTTTACCCTAAGGGAACTGGGGAGACATTCAGGGCATTTGAGCAGGATGGTGATATAAGCAGATTGACATTTTGCACAGGGAATTCTGAATTGGAGGGGGGCACACGTGGAAGCTGAGGGAGCAGTTATGTGTGGTCTTCCTCGGGGGAGAGGCGGGGATCATTATTCGTATTACAGCATCCAGTACAGAGTAGGGGACTTAAAAGGCAGCCAACGTTATGAAGTACAGCATTATAACTGGGATCAATTTGGGGATAGTCATCATCTCTCCTTTTTTACTGACACTAATGGCTACAAAATTAGCTATTCCAAATTTAATTTTCATTTATTTTCTTACACGAAATACTACTGTTTCGTTCACTGTCAAATCCTATTTTAAAGTTCACATCCTGACATTTTCCTTTCCCCTGTCTCCATTTGATCTAATATCTCTCTGTTTCCAATATGGCCTCACTCTACATCCAGATTTCTCTTCATACTTTCCCCGCTATGTCTTCCCTCTTTCTGCTTCTCTCTGTGTTTAAGCTGCTGTCTTCTGCGATTTCTCCTGCCTTCTCTCCAGGTGTGTGAGGACCTTTAAGATCTGAACCGTGGCCAACTTCATCCCTCAAAGATCGCTGCCATGGCTTCCATGACATTTCAGATATTACCCCCAGTGGGTTGATTCTCAGCTTCCCCTCACTACGCTGCCCGGCTGCCTTTTTCCCACCCCCACATGCTCCTCACACCTGAATTCACTGCAGCCTCCTTCAGTCCTGCCTCAGCTGCCATCATTGTCCCAGATCCAAACCTGACTCCAGTGGAAACTCTATGAGCTGCTTTGGCCCCATATAGCTCTCATCTTTTACACTCACCCTCCACCTCAAGCAAAGTCTATGGAATCAACAAGGTCCCACCTTTGGTCTCTTGGACTGCTGGGTCCTTTACTGTCCACTGTACCCCGAGCAGGGCTATGAAGTCCCATCACTAAGCACTTGGATTTTATTCTAATCCCAGATTTAGGGTTGACCCCAGTCTCCGTAGGGCCTCATTTGTGATAACCTAGTTATGGTTATGGACCTTACAGACCCCGATTGCTGTCTTTGCCCTGCCTGGTAGACCTGAGGTTTTCTTAAATTTCCGTTCTGCGTTCCCATTCTAATAACCAGTCTATTTGCTGTAATTGCTTAATGAGACCTGGAGCGCTCTTTTTGTGCCATTTCCTATAGACTGTCGTCCCCTTCAGTGAACTTCAGCACCCCCAACTAGGACCCTGCTCTCCTCAAAGAGAGATATGGGGTCTGCCCGGCCAGTCACCGTCCCCCGCTCTGTGACCCTGTTAGATGCTCTGGGCTGACCACTTGCCTGGTACTTGGACAGAAGGTGCAGAGTCAGCATGAACAATGAGCCCTGTCTCCGCCCTGGGTGTTGACAGGTCCTTGTGATTATCTGGAGCTTAATTTCCAGCAGTCTCTGTCCTTGTGGGCAGGTCTAATTCCAGGTGGCAGCACCACCCAGCCTTGCCATAAAGCATGAAAAGGAAGAATTACATAACATTTCCAGAGTTCCTTTCTGTCAGAAGCCTTGTTAAAGGGGCTTTTCACAATACCGCTCAGAGGCAGCATGGGTTTTCTTGTGTCTTTCTGTAATTAATACCTTATTTCCTTCTCTAAAGGTGGATCCCATTTTAGTGAGTAATTACTTATTATTTCATTTAATCCATAACTGCACTGGTACATCAGAGCTAATTTTCTGCCAGTCACTTGAATTATATATTTCAGGGTTGCAGACATAAAGTGCAACACATGAATTGAAAAATCTTGGAGATAAGCTCGTAGAATTGCCAGCTCAAAAATGGAAACGAAGCATGAAAAATATATAGTGAGTGCTGAATACTCTGAAAACAATCCAGTGAGTATTGTTGCTCTAGTTTAATACTTTGCTTATATTGTAGTCTTATTTTCAGCATTTGAAAGCCACCTAATCTCTTTACTACTATGTAGTCAATGTCAGAATTTTACATTCTTTTCTAAAAGGAGAGTAGCCATGCATTATTGTTTTTACTTCAACTTTTCATGCTGTATGCTAGTTCCTCAATTATACTTTAGACATTATTTTGTATAGTTACAGATATAAAGCATTAGAAATATTTCTTTGACCACATGAAGTACAAATAAATCCATTTAACTTTTCTATATTTACCATATTCATTCATCACCTTCGGTTTAGTTTTCAAGTTATATTTTTACGATTCATGTCTTAGATTTTATATATAATTTCTACACCTGTCAGAACTCAGATTTCTAAATATACTGGAAATTCTGATATTAATTCTGGATATTGTCTTTAAACCTAAGAAAGGAATCCTCTAAAAAGTCCTACTTTATGTAAATATATGATCTTTTGTCTACTTTAAAATGATTCCTGCCAAGAATCAGGCTGTTACTGTATAGTTATAGTTATATAGTTATGTATCTGGTTTTATGTTTGAACAACTAATCTTTGATATCAGAACTAAGGGTGGAAATGTGTTAAAAATTAAAATAATAAGTTAAAATTCACCACCTGAAGAGTAAATGAAATATTTTACCTTTGCAATTTGGAGTTGTGGCAATCAGCCTGTATTAGTTGCCTACTAAATAAGCCAAAGAAGAATGTTCTGTTGCTTGGTAAGTGTTAGTTGAATAAAAGGATCCTATAAATGATTCCTGGTTCATCAAAAGAGAAGAAAAAAAGAGAATGGGGTTTGTGTGTTTGAGTCATTGAACAAGGGGCCCTCCTCAAGATGTTCTCTTTGTCATTCTGAGTTTCAGACACTAAAATTGCATCCTCAGGATGCCAGAACATGCAGATGGGGGAAAAAAACTCCCTTTAGCCAAGTATTCATCATCTTTATAGTTTCTCTAGATAACAACAAGCTTGGAGATATTTACAGATATTACCTTCAGCTGTTTACACAGCATGCACTTGGATAAATCACTCAATATTTTGCTTTACTATGGACATTTAGGGCATAGTTATCAAAATATTTTTATCTTAAGACCAAATTCAATAGTGAAATCTTAGAATTATTTGAAAGTTATAAACAAAAAGAAATTTTGGTGTTTTTCTGTTGAGATATATAAGATCTTAAATTAATCCTTATAAAGTTAGGGGAAAACCCTACAGACATTTCTTTGGCAACTACAGCTAATGCACTTGCCTATGGCCATTATTAGCTAAGGCTGAATATTGGATTCAACATTATTCACAGGTCTCCAACTCTTCTAATTTTGTGTAAAGATTCAGCTTGTAATAAGAGTCAGAGCCACCTAACAGTAAATATTATTACTTGGGCTGCAATGTTCCTCAGAAACTGAGCCTAGATCATAGGTCCTCCACCCTTAGTGTAGACACCACCCATCATTCTTCCTTCTTTGCAAGGGTTGATATTCCAAAAGGGCCAAAGAAATCCCGGAACACTGGCCTGGTGAGTGAGTTTTACTTTGTTTTCAAAGTGCATTAAAATATCATCAGCCGCAGGCAAACTGGGCAATAATTAAAGCAACAGAATCAGCACTTAGGAAACTAAGCAAGGTTGTTATTAAAGGTAGGTCCAATTGTGCTCCAGTATACCTAGTGAATAACATGGGCTTCATTTAACCTAATTCAATAAAACATAGAGCAGTTTTTTAATATCTCTTTTGAATAACTCTTAGAGAAAAGAATCTAACTTTACAAACTCATTGCTGACAGCGTATTCCATCTTATCTATATTTAGTAACAATCAAATTTAGTTTTTGTATTGTTAATGGACCAATGACCACATACAATTCTGGTTTGACACTTTTATGAAACTCACTGGTTGACAGACCAGCAATTTTTATAGCTATTTAGTAATGGGTTATTAAATCAACAAGATCAAAAACAGCTAGTCATCATAGCAGCAGAAATAAAAACATGAATACTACTACTAACAATAACAATAGCTAATGCTTATCGAGTGTACAGTCCATGTGAGACACGCTCTAACCAACCCTTTTGCAGCTATTTACTCATAAATCTTCCCAGCCAACCTATGAGTGGGTAGTTTCAGTGTCCTGCTTTTGAAGATGAGCTGACAAAGATGCCCTTAACTCACAGCTGAAAAGTAAGAATTATCATCCCATGAGTTAAAGAGCCCCAGACAATTCTACATTATTTTTGGGATGCAACAAAACTTTTGACCGAGATCCACAAATTTCTGGACTCATTCCTCTCTTATTTTTACTTTATCTTGTTCTTTCCCCTTTTTTATCACCCCTTCCGCCAAATCTTTCCCACTGAACTCACCCCATGTTCAATTCTTATCACCCCTTTTCTCAACATTTTGCAATTATTGTATTATTTGTTAATTACACACAAATCTGTTTTGCCTCCCTGTTGAATTAGCATATGAACTTTCTAAGAGAGGAGACCTTTGCTGTTGTTGTTGTTGAGGACTGTTTTTACAATGCCCAAGAGGAACCCAGCAAAGATACATCACAAACTGGACAAATGATTGCAAGTTCCATTGCATAGAGCATGGTATGGATTATGCAGAGTCTCTTTGTATGAGAACTTTTCATTAGTATAGTGCAGTGTATGTAGTATACTAGTATACATTATATTAATATATTGCCATTGTTTAGTACAGCAATATACTATATATAGTATAGTGGAATGAAAAGTGCTCTAGCCTTAATGCTCTGGCCTCCAGTTCTTGCTATTATGTCATTATGGAATAATAATAATAATAACAACTTTAACTGTTTTGGCTTCAATATTCTCATTTCCAAAATGACCTGAACAGGTTTTACCTGATAAGCTGCAAGGACACTTTCAGCTCTACCATTCTATTCCTTATGTGAATAGGCGCTTCCTAATGCATGCTCCACCTACCGCAGCTTGCAACATGAAGTTGTTAAACACATGCATGTAATAGGACAGAGAAAATGAGATGGTATACATTCCTGATCTGGAATATCAGTAACACAAAAATTAGTTAAAATGTGATACATAATCATCTGTCTAGATTTTTCTGTCTTCAGAGGATAAGAAAATATTTATTCCGTTTAAAAGTCACACTCTTGTTTATTTTTGACTGAGTTTAATTTTAGAAATTCAACACCATGGCTTATTCACTTACGCTTTATCTCTTTAGCCAATCACGTGTTCACATGACCAGGAGGCTCACAGCTCTGCCTGCTGGCATCCACCTTCAAATGACGTAACCAGTGATGTCTCTTCCAACTTAGTTGGGGTCTTTGTGAGCCCAGGAGACCTTGCGCACTCAGGATACGCACAGAGGACATTATCCCATACACAGGTAATGCTGGAATAGCAGCTTTTATGCAGGTTGGGATGTGTTCTCTATGGGGATGTATTGGTTCTGTTCTTTCCCAAGAAATGTATTTAATCACTTAATTCACCTATACTCATGTTAAGTATTTGCTGTATTCTCAGTATAATTATAAGATACTGTGAGGCAATTCACAAAAAGAAAAATATTTGATAGTCTCGGTTTTCAGAGGGCTAATGTTCTAGTTGGGGGCTCAAATATTCACATAGATACAGAACATGTATGAAAATAAAAGGAATAAATGTAAAGTACAAATGCAAGGTTGGGGAGGGGCAGGGGAGCAAATATGTTGACAGTGTAGGCTTTAATTCACTAATTAGACTCCAATGGGAGACTGAATCATATTTCGAGTTTCAAGGATCCCACTCTATTTGTGATCACTTACTTTTCTTTTCTTACACTGTTCCAACCTCTGAACCCATATGTGGCACTTTCTTTAGCTCTTTTGGTTCTGACCTCTGGTGCATATGACCTTGATATAGAAACCTGGTTCTGTTCTCCAGATTTTCTCCACTGGCTTTGGAGACTAGAGCCAGCTCTCCTTGGTTTCCGACCTTAACTGTTGGCTGAATTAACTTTACCTCAGGACTGTATCAACCCTAGAATAGGAACTTGATCTTGACTGTAAATGACTTATTGTATTTGGAAGCTTGATTAGGTTCCCCTGACTCTGAAATTCCTATCCTCTGTTGCTTAATTTTGCTGTAGAGCAATGGTTCTCAACCTGTGGGTCGCAACCCCTTTGGGGGTCGAACGACCCTTTCACAGGGGTGGCCTAAGACCATCGGAAAAGAAAAAGATATTTACATTACGATTTATAACAATAGCAAAATTACAGTTATAGAGTAGCAACAAAAATAATTTTATGGTTGGGGGTCACCACAACATGAGGAACTGTATGAAGGGGTCGCGGCATTAGAAAGGTTGAGAAACGCTGTTGTAGAGGTTCAGTAGAAAGAGTCTGAGCCTTGTTTCTTGATTCTGGATTTAAAAATATAAACTGTTTATACTGTTACAAGGGCAATATGAAAGATTGAATAAGTTCCATAGGGTGGTGTTAGAAAACGTGTCTTCTTATTTGCAGAGGTAAAGTAATTAGAAAGAGGTGTTGGATAACATCTACTCTGATAGTTCTTACTCCAAGCTTCATTAAGAATCACCTGGGGATTGTTTATGAAGCACCAATGTCTGAGCCCCACCCCAGAACAATAAAATCAGAAACTCTGGGGGTGCGCTCCATGCATCAATATTTGTTAAATGCTTCCGGTGACTCTAACGTGCAACCAGTGATGAGAATGACTGATCTAGTCCCGTGTAATCATTTAACCATCAGGGAAAATATGGCCTAGGAAATCTAAGAGATTTTCCAGAACTCACATAGTTTTGCCTGAAGTGACCAAGACAGGAAAACTTAGGTGTTCTATTGTCTGGTTACGTGCACTTTATTTCACTAAGCTGCTCTTTTATAATTTCTTCTACAGGCAGTATTATAGACTCCTCCAGCTGTGCATAAACCTTTTCCCAGTTTCTTTTCTTGAGACTCTTTTGTCGTGCCTTTGGTCAAGGTAAAGAAGATTTTTTTTTTTCCAGAGCTAACTTGAACTTAGTGGCCCTAATTTTCTGGCCTTAGTGACATGTGCCTTCATTTTATTCCTGCTGTTTTAGGGCTGTCACCCTTTGCATGAAATCCTAGCCTTCCAACAAATACCGTGGCCCATGTTTTGTAATATTTAGGATCTATTCTAGTCTGTCTGTAAGGTGCAAGTGTTGTGTCCCATTTCTTGAGGGTCTTGCTTCCATCCAGGCGATAATAAAATAAGCAATCATGTTGGAGAATTGAAAATTGACCTACCTGACACTATGCCAGGCACTTTACAAACACTGTCTTATTTTATTTTCTTGTCTTTCTTATTAGGCAGGTATCATTATCCTAATGAGGAATTGAAGCTTAGAAAGAAAAAGTTGCCAAATGATGCACAGCTGATAAGTAGCAGAGCTAAAATTCAACCCCAAATCTGTTGGACTTCAAAGCTCTTGATCTTAACTCCTATATGATAGCTGCATCCAAAATAAAAATATTTTTGAGAGCTAGTGACTTATACATGTTATTTTTAGTCTTCCTGACAGTAATATGAGATAGATATTTTTAACCCTGTGTTTCAAGATAAGGAGATTTGAGGCTCAGAGAAGGTCAGAAATTGTTTGATTTCATAGCTCTGAAATTTCAACACATCTCTCCAATTAAAAAGACTCTACTCTTCCACTTTGCTTTGGTGCCTAAGAATATTAGCAATAAATATTTACAAAAATACTTTAGAATTAATAAAGCAATTCAGTTTTGTTAATTCTTAAGGTAATCCTGTAAGTCACATGCCATTTTATCACCAATTCATAAAGGATGAAATAGCAACTCAGAGAAGTTAAGCAATTTGCTTAGGCAGAATATAGAGATTCCAACACAGGGTTTCTAATCCCAAATTCTATGTATATCTTTTTTTCCTTTTAAACCGTGCTAGTAAATAAACTAATCTATGATGAGGATTAGTGAGAATGTAAGCAGAGCTTTGTCTTAGCTTGTTAAGATGCGCATCACTGGAAAGCTTCTAGGGAGCTCTTTTCATTGTGTACTTCCAGGTAATATGCTTGGGAAGGAGCCAGTGCACTCAGGTGGATTCTCTGGGTTCCTCTGTTCATACTAGGTCCTAGGCAGCTACCTACATGAGGAATGATAGGATGTTATAAAGGGTTATTTTCAGGGGTTGATTCATCACCAGGCTATCAATATTACTTTAAAAATTGGGAATACTGTAAGAACAATTATGAAAAAAACCTCACAGTTTTTTTCCAAGACTATTGAATTAGTACAAGGCAGAGATAAAGGAAGCATGGACTGGAGTGGTATCAACAGAGGTAGAGAAGTCAACAATATTGGGAAATATTTAGCAGATAAAGTTGACAGGGCTTGGTAATGGATTGCGAGATTTCAAGGATGATTCCTTCATTCCAGCTTTTGGAACTGAATGAAAAGGATGGTGCTGCTCTTTAATAAAATGTGCGAGTTGGCCAGGGTTCACTGGGAAGATCATGACTTTGGGTTTGGATACAGTGAGTTTGAGGCATTTCTGAGATACAAGATGTGTTATCACATAAACATTTTAAGGTTAAATAGAAGACCTGGACTGGAGATAAACTTGAAAGTCACTCTGATATGGATGGAAATTAAAATCATAGCTATAAATGAGAAAGACTAAGAAGAAAGTATGGTGATCAAATCTTGCCCACCACCTATTTTGTAAATAAAGTTTTATTAGAATACAGTCATGCCCACTTGTTTACTTACTGTCTATGGCTGCTTTCATACAATAGTGGCAAACTGGAATAGTTGTGACAGAAACTGTATGGCTCACAAAGCTGAAAATAGTTACTATTTGGCCCTTTTCCAAAAAAGTTTGCTGATCCTAGACCAAGAGTGAAAAGAGACAAGGGCCTAACAATGTCAATATATTCTGAAAGTGAATAGTGAGGCTTCAAAAGAAATTGAGAACATCCTGTGTTTAGAAGGAAATCGCCGAGAATGGAATATCACAGAAGCAAAGAGAAGAGATTGTTCAAAAGAAAGAAGGAGGAATGGCCTCCAGTGGCAAATACTACTGAGGGTTCAATTAAGACACCGGCTAAAATATGTCACTTATATTTTAGTAAATGAATGTCCCTGATGACTTTATTAAGAGGTTTTTTTCATGGCATGACAGAAGCAGAAGCCAGATTAGGTTGGACTGAAGGGTGGGTAAACAGAGATGTTGCATTTAGACCACGCTCAGGAAATTTCATTTTTCAGAGAAAGATAAGTAGCTAGAGGGCGATGTAGAATCAAAGGAGACATTTTCGTTTAAGATGGCGAGAGATTTGAGTGTGTTTAAATGTTACAAAGAAGAAGCCATTTAAGAGGAAAGCAGTTAAGTATTCAGTCTAAGAGAAAGGGTAATCAAAAGAAAAAAGTTGCTCAGAAGGGCAGAGGGGATGCCTTCCAAAGGGTAGATTGGCAGATCAGCTTCAGGCAGAACCAGGGCGAGCTCGTCGTGTGTCAATCAGGGAAGGAAGAGATGTAGAGTCCAGACACGTTTCCATGAGCAGGTTTGGTACCTAGTGGGGTTTTGAAAGAATTTCCATTTGGTGGTTTCAAGTTTCCTAATGAAGTAGGAAGGCGGTGAAGTCTTTTGACAGGAATGAGGAAGGACAATTTGTGTGTGAGGGTTGGTCTGTGGATGTTACAGGTTTGAGGAGAAAGAAGAAGATTGATAAATATAATCAGAGAAATATAATGGGAGAGTAGAGCAGTACAGAACATCCATTCAAGGATGGTGATCATACGTTTATACTGACTCTGATCAGTCCAGGTGCTTGATTTTCCCCAACAGTGTGCTGCTCAAGGGCAAATCTAGAGACAGCAGGTCATCAATGATTTGCCAGTTGCAGGAAATAAGAAGAGGGAACTACAAGAGACTTAAGGGAATTAGTAAGTTTTATTGAAATAATGGACCATAGAACAAAAGGTGGACAAGGAGGGATATGAGTAAAACAAGGGGCTGCTAGGCTGAAGATTTTATTAAACTAAAGAAAGGTTGTTATGGGAATAATTGAACAAACAAGATGGAAGGAGATGAGATGGTGGTTAGAGCACAGGATTCTGGGAAAGAGGTTTTGGAAGTGGATCAGTTGGGGTAATGGAAACATCTGGTGGAGGACCGGGTATATGACAGAGAATTTACCATAAAAGTGCTTTTCTGCTCACATGAGGAGGTGAAGAAACCCCTCCCTACCCATCATTGGACAACAGAATAAGAGAAGATGAGATATTGGGAAGTCTAAGTATTTTCAGAGACATATAGGGATTCCAATGGTGTTAATGCACTAAGTTATAAATTACACAAAAGAGATGATAAACCATAAGCAGTTTTGTTTTTTTTCATTACTGATATTTTTATTGACACTCTCAGGTGAAAGGAAATTGCTGCAGTACCTGGTCTCTGTGGAAAGTCTTTTTGGCTTGTCTCCTAGCCTGTGTGATAACAACAGCAATTGGAGTACTCATAATATTCCTGCTGAATGACAGAGGAAATAACGACCCTTCCATTGTCATCAAGATAATCCCAAACAATAGGGAGCCTGTAGCTAACATTGATGGAACAACCCCTTCTACTTCTCAACCTACAGTGACCATCACATCAACTGAACCTACAACTAGAGCCACTTTAACAGAATCTACAACCATTACAACATCCACTGAACCTCCCATCGCAACATCCAGAACCATCACTTCAACTAAATCTACAGTCTCCACACCTTCAACTGAATTTACAACCACAACAGCCAACTTCTCTACTTCAAGTAAAACCACAGCTGTTCCCACTTCAACAGGACCTACAACTGCTGCAACTTCAACCACAGAAAATTCTGGTTCAACTTTACATTAGCTGACAACCAAAACAATTACCACTTCCACCATCTTTGAATTCACAACTATATTCCCTTCAACTGAATCTGCACCCACTACCGCTTCCGTTCAACCTACAACTACTGGAATTTCCACTTAACCTACAATAACAATGGCCATCAGCCTTCTTTAACCATCTGTAATCTACATCTACTCACCTGAATCTGCAAATGCCATTAATGCTTTAGCTAATAGAAGTACCATCAGTCATCAAAATGTTCTCTTCTATGGCAAGTTGACCTTTAGTTATTATCACTACAAATTAACCTACAGCTATCCTCCC